CCGGGCAGACAAAATGTAGCTCCTGGCAATGAAAATGGGGAGCCCCCAGATTCCCGCGGCACCCGTCCGGCATCTGCCCAGACCCCCTTGGGGAGTCATGATGGTCTCTTTTGGGACCACTAGAAACCTATCAGTCTTCGCTGTTAGGTAATATCTGGCGTTCCGGTTCTGGGGTTCCTGTTTTTTTTTCTCCGCGGCGCCTTGCACTAAGTCCATACAGCCAGGGGATGCGGGTGCCTCCCTCCCCTCCCCCTGCCGCCCTCCCCTCCCCCTCCCTCCCGCCCCCCCCCCTCTCCCGGTCAGGTTCTTTTCTTCCCTCTGTCCGCCTCCCTCTCTCCCTCTGTCCGTTTTCAGCCCCCCCCTCGTTCCCCCGGGACGAGGCACCCCCGGAACGACCCCCGGGGCCACGATTTCGCCCACGATTTTGCCAACGATTTCGCCCCACGATTCTGCCCACGATTTTGCCCACGATTTTGCCCACGATTTGCTTCCGATTTTGCAGACGATTCGACTGCCCACGATTTTGACCACGATTTTGAACACGATTTTGTTTCATTATGATTCGAATTAACGGAAAATCGTGAACAAAATCGTGGGCGAAAATCGTGGCTCGTCCCAGGGGTTGCCCCGGGGTGGCCCCACGGGTGCCCCCAGGGGGTGGCCTGGGGGGGTGCCTCGTCCTGGGCCCGGACCGGGGCGCCGCTCCAGGGTGCCCGGCGCGCGGCGGCGGAGGGCGGGGGCGCAGAAGAGGGGGGGGGCCGGGGAGGGGCACTGGTGAGGGGCCGGTAGTGGGTGGAGGACAGGGAAGGGGCGGGCAGGGGCAGGTGGAGGGCAGGGAAGGGGGAGGTGCGCGGGGAGCGGAGGGGAAAGGAGGGGCAAAGGGGCCGCAGCTGTTGGTCTTGAGGGCCGACGCTTTCGGAAACGGCCCACTGAATGCCAGCGCAGCCCCGCCCACCTGCTCAGTCTCGCGCAGTGGCTCCCGCGGGGGCCCTGGCCGCTTCTGCCGCGGCGCCGGCGGCCGCGAATGCTCCCGCCAAGCGGGGCTTACTGGAGCAGCGCGTGGTCCTGGATAGGGCTCGGCGCGAGGCGTTCGCCCCTTTCCGCCGCGTCGCGGCAGGGGGCAGCAGCGGGAGTTAGAGCAGGGAACGCAATTTGAGGAACGCCACGATATTTACCGTGTGCGCGACGAGGGGTGGCGGCGAGGGCAGGCCCCCCCCGCCCGCGCGCGCCGCTTCGCGTCCCGAGGCCGCGCGCGGCGCGCGAGCCATTCCGGGGCGCCCGGGGCGCGGCGCAAACAAGGGTGAAAAAACGTTTATTGCGCTCCTCTAAAAGCCGCCGCGAGACACGCGCCCTCTCGAGCAGCGATAGAATGAACGCCCCGGGCCGCTGCGGGCCTCCCAGAAACGACCGTCTTCACTCGAGCGGCGTATTGGCTTGTCAAAATTAATTATCCCAGCAAAGCAACCTAACAGCGATGTGTACAAGCATATCTGGAAGCATCCCCCTTAAGATTCAGATGGGAATCCAGTTGTAGAATTCTGCTGTTCTCGCAGTCGCAGTCGCATTCGCAATGACAGTCGCAGCGGCAACGGCCTTAGGATCCAATGGGATCCCAATCCTAAGGATTCCTGAGGATGTTTAACTATGCCTACGGATTCCTAAGGATGCCGGCGGGTTCCTGAGGATTCCTAAGGATTCCTATGGATCCCTACGGATTCCTACGGATGCCTCCGCCTGCCTCAGTTTCAGTTTCAGCCTCAGCCTGCCTCGGCTTGCCTCAGCCTCAGCCTGCCTCGGCCTCAGCCTCAGCCTGCCTCAGCCTCAGCCTCAGCCTGTCTCGGCCTCAGCCTGCGTCAGCCTCAGCCTCAGCCTGCCTCAGCCTCAGCTTCAGCCTCAGCCTCAGCGTCAGCTTCAGCCTCAGCCTCAGCCTCAGCCTCAGCCTCAGCCTCAGCCTCAGCCTCAGCCCCAGCCTGCCTCGGCGTGCCTCCGCCTCAGCCTCAGCCTGCCTCGGCCTCAGCCTGCGTCGGCCTCAGCCTGCCTCAGCCTCCCCCCCCCTCCCCTTCCCCCCCTCCATTCAGCTTCACCTTGTCACAGCTTCGGCCTGCTTCGGCCTCAGCCTCAGCCTCAGCCTCAGTCTCAGCCTCAGCCTGTCTCGGCCTGCACCTGCGTCGGCCTCAGCCTCAGCCTGCGTCAGCCTCAGCCTGCCTCAGCCTCAGCCTCAGCCTCAGCCTGCCTCAGCCTCAGCCTCAGCCTCAGCCTCAGCCTCAGCCTCAGCCTCAGCCTGCCTCAGCCTCAGCCTCAGCCTCAGCCTCGGCCTCAGCCTCAGCCCTCAGCCTCAGCCTCTCAGCCTCAGCCTCAGCCTCAGCCTGCCTCAGCCTCAGCCTGCCTCAGCCTCAGCCTCAGCCTGCCTCGGCCTCAGCTTGCGTCAGCCTCAGCCCCAGCCTGCCTCAGCCTCAGCCTGCCTCAGCCTCAGCCTCAGCCTGCCTCGGCGTGCCTCAGCCTCAGCCTCAGCTTGCCTCGGCCTCAGCCTGCCTCGGCCTCAGATTGCCTCAGCTCGGGCACTCGAAATATGGCGCAGGACTGGTGTTCTGGAAACGCGAAGATCACGAAGTGGCCCACAGTTGGCTCCGGGCAATCAAAATATGGTGCACGAGTGGTGTTCTGGGAACACAAAGAACACGAAGTGGCCTACAGTTGGCTCTGGGCATTCAAAATTAACGTGGGAATGGTGTTCTGGGATCACGAAGAACACGAAGTGGCCTACAGTTGGCTCCGGGCAATCAAAATATGGTGCACGAGTGGTGTTCTGGGAACACAAAGAACACGAAGTGGCCTACAGTTGGCTCTGGGCATTCAAAATTAACGTGGGAATGGTGTTCTGGGAGCACGAAGAACACGAAGTGGCTTACAGTTGGCTCAGGGCATTCAAAATGTGGCCTGGGAGTGCTGTTCTGTTGGCTCTGGGCAGTCAAAATGTGGCCCCTGGCAGTGAAAATGGGGAGTCCCCGGATTCCCGCGGCACCGGTCCGGCATCTGCCCAGACCCCCCTGGGGAGTCATGCTATTTTTTTTGAGCCCACTAGAAGCCCATCAGTCTTCGCGGTTCGGTAATTTCGTAGTTGAGTCAGAGGGGCTGGGCTCGCCTGCCCGCGAGGGGGCCATTGTGGATTCAGCCCCCTTTGAGAAAGCACGCAAGGCCCCCTTCGGCCATGCTCGAGCCGTCGAACGGATGGGGGGCGCATCGGGGGCCACGACTGCGCGCGGGAGTGCGCGTGGGAGCGTTGGACGCGCGCGTCGCCCAACGACCGCAGGGTGAAGTGTCGCCGCGGCGGAGAGATCCACGGCGGCCACATGGCGTCGTGGATTCGGGCCCGCCTTGGTCGCGCCTTCGCAGCCTGCGCGGCGCGTCTCAGCAGCAGGAGGAGGCGGCGCGCGACAATGCGATAACGCTCGGGCGGCCCACGATGCCATCCCAATGCCAAGCTCCAGGACGTCGACATGATGAAAAATTCTCAGTTTCAAAATCGTTGCGGTTCCTTGGGGGGGAGGCGGCCTCGCAACATCTGGGGCGCGGAACGTGCGAGGGATGTGCCGGAATGGAGGTGGATTTGCAGGCGGGCGCTGCCACTGGGGCCTTCGGTAAAGCTCCCCCTGGGGCCACGAAGCGTGCGAGGGGTGCACTGAAATAGTGGTGGAACTGCATGCGAGCGCTGCCACTGGGGCCTTAGGTGGAGCTCTCCATGGGACCACGAAGCGTGTGAGGGGTGCAGTGGAGAGGAGGAGGAGGGGGAGGAGAACAGGAGATGAGGAGGAGAGGAAGATGAGGAGAAGGAGGAGGAGGGAGGGGCCCGTGGGGGGAGGAGTGAGGTGACGCGGGACGCTGTCTCTTCAAAACCAGGACCCAACACCACAGATGGTTGGGAACATTTGCAAGAGTTTCACGCATTGGGGACGGGTCGTTTTCAACATGTGGCTCTCGCTTTAGCGCCGCGCACTTTTGTTTAAAACGCTGGCTAGAGCGTCAAAGTGCGGTTCTCGCCTGAGCGCCGCGCGCGCTCGTTTAAAATAGTTGTAAGAGCTCCACGGATTGAGGGTGGGTCGTTTTCAAAGTGTGGCTCTCGCCTCAGCGCCGCGCACACTCGCTGCAAACCTGTGTAAGAGCTTCACGGATTGAGGGCGGGTTGTTTTCAAAATGTGGTTCTCGCTTTAGCGACGCGCACATTCGTTCGAGCAAGTTGTAAGAGTTCTACGGGTTCCCATGGTTCACGTATCAGGAATGGCGTCTTGGAAGGAGTTAGGATTGTCAGGGCACAACACGTACGTTGATTCGCGGTGGTGAAGTCCCAGGAACGGCGTTCTGGCACGATTCAGGATCGTAAACACGCAGCAGGCACGTTGATTCGTGGCGTTGGAGTCCCGAGAATGGTGTCTCGACATGTTTCAGATTTTTTCCACGGTTGTCTCCCAACGGGACACTTCCCTCAGTGGAAATGAACCCTGGATGGGGCCTATGAAGAGGGAGCTTGAAGAGAGGGTTTATTCCAACATCGTTGATGAGTCTTGGGTTTGCACTGGTCTTCCTCCTTCTCCTCCTCAGTCCTCCTCGGAGGAAGGGGGGAGCCTCCTCCTCCCCCTCCCCATCCCCCTCCCCTTTTCCCTTGTCGTCGCCCCTCCTCCCCCTCCCCATCGCCTTCGTCGTTGTCGTCATCTTGTCCCTCCTCCCGCGATGACACAAGTCCAATCTGACCGATTGGCAGGTCCTCTGTCCAGTCTGCTCACCCCAGACATCCGACTTTTCGATTTGTTCGACACACGGGCCCCCGACCTCCCGACAACTTTTCTGGGACCGGTTTTTCATCCCGAGTCGTTTTTTGACGGTCCCGAGGCCCGGCGACGGCCCCGAGAGGCCAAGAATTGCAAACAAAAATCCGTCTCGGTTTTTTCGAGACGCCCGATGTCTGCTCCCTGCGGCCGCTCCTTCTTCCGCCGCCTCCGGAGCAGGTGCTCTCGTCCCCGCCGGCGCCGAAGGACTACTGCCACGGCCAGGTGCCCAAGCGCTGCGACCTCGCCAAGGAGTTCGCGCACGCCGCGCGCCGAGCGCCCCGGGGGGCAAGTATACACATTGTGCTTTTCGAATGCTTCGAGAGTTCTTTGATTTTGCTTTGGGGGGCCAAGATCCTTTCATTTCTAATTGTTCTATCCTGGGCCTCTTCCTGGCCACTAGGGGGCCAGGAACAACTAGAAACGAGCACGATTAGAAATGAGCAGGATTAGAAATGAACGACGTGTATCCACATCCACCGCCGGTCGAGCATCCATCCCCCAGGCGTCCGTCGTGGATAATCCCTGCCTCGCGAAGATTCGAGCCGCATCTGGCCCACTAGCCGCCCCCGTCCAGAGGTTCTGAAGGCTTCGGCTTGCGCGCGTTCGGGTTGCGCGCAGACGGCCCCCCCCCCCAGGTAGTCCCGGCTGGCGCCAGCAGGCTCCCCGAATAGTCCCAGCTGGCTTCAACAGGCCCCCCGAGTAGCCCAGGGCGGCCTCAGCGCTTCAACCCTGGGGCGCGGAGCGCCCCAGGGGGCGCCGTTGTGACGGCGGCGCCGGGGTTTTGAGAACGCCCCAGACTGCTGGGTGGGCCTGTTGAGGCCACCTGGGACTGCTCGGGGGGCCTGCTGAGTGAGGCCAGCTGGGGGCCACCTGGCGGGGCGAGCCGAAGCCCGACCGTGGCGTTCGGGCCAGTTGGGCAGCCCGGGAGGACTCCGCCTCGGCCGGTCGCGTGCGGTTGGCCAGGGCGGGGGCCGGAGGCCAGGCCCCCTCGGAGAGGCCCGCTCGCGCCCTGTCGGGGGGGGAGCCCGACTCCCTGCAGGGACGGGTGGGCGCGAGAGCCCCTCCTCTTTCGGGGGCGGAAAAGAGGGGGGTGATGACTAGGGGGGGGGGGATGGATATCGTAGCGGGGGCCATGATATTTCTCCAGATTCCATGGCGCCTCTTCTTATTTCATTACGTCCCTGGCCCCCCCCGCTGGGCCGCGCACATGCCGCCAGTCAGGATTTGCACCCCCCCCTCTTGGACACCCCCCTCTGGGCCGCTCCCGATTCTTCTCGGAGGAGAGGAGATGACATAAACATCAACTTTCGGAGCTCGGCGCGGATTCCTCGGATCTGCGCGGGGACCCCCTGGCGGCGCCTCCGTCGCCGCCCCCGGCAGGGGGTTCGGCGCAGGTCCAAGACATCCGCGAGGAGCTCCCACTGTTTATGTCTATGCAGTGTTTTTTTCATATCTTCTCCCCTCCCCCTATTGCGCGGCATCCTCCGAAGACGAACATTGTGCATTGACAGAACGCCCACCCAGGCAAGTCGACTGAGGAAATCTGCGCTGTCTAACTCGACATTGGCATTCGAGTATGCTGGTGCAGGTCCCAGTTGGTTTCGCGAACGGCGTTTTCGTTTTGCGAGGAGCATTCGCTTGTTTTTTGACGTCGATTGCTATCCCGCCTGGGTCCACGCGGATTGCGGAGCCGTGCGCACGAAGAGTGACCCTGGACTTTTCATTAAAGGGCGAACAATCGGAAACACTAGTCAGAGGTACGCGAGGATTTCTTGCATCGGCGCTGGACCCAATCTGGCGGCACCTCCAGCGCCGCCCCTGGCGCGCTCCGCGCGCCAGGGAGGGGGTACAGCGCCGATTTCAGAAATCCGTGTGGACATCCGAACGTGTATGTGCATGTGGTTGTTTGCTCCTCTCCTTCCTTCCTCCTGTGCGCCGTCTGGAATGGTGCTGCGCTGATGATCGATCCAATCCCGAGACTGAGGCCGCTCAGCAGGGCCCCCCGACGACCATGATGATCAGGAACATCCCGAACCACTTCACGCAGGCCAGCATGGTGCGCGAGCTTGAAGGGCTCGGCTTCCAGAACTCGTATGACTTCCTCTACGTGCCCATCGACAAGGGCACCATGGGGAGCGTTGGCTATCCTGCAGGCTCACGCCACCGATGCCCAGAGGAGGGGGAGTCGTGACGATGTTCTGGCTTGCTTCGGTGCCCCAGGGAGGACAACATTGTGGAGGAGAAGAACGAGAACGAGCATGACGATGCGGACGCGGAGAAGGAAGGGGGGAAAACGAGGGGGGGAAAGAGCATGCCACGGTGACGACCTGCAGAAGATGCAGTAGAGTTTGATCAGTAGGCCAACCCCGCCAAATCAACGGTACCCTGGTGTCCTGTGTATTGCGTCTCGTCTCGTCAGCACGGTTTTGTATCTTGTGTGCTCTCGCGCGCCCTCTCCAGTCCACCTCGGCTGTCAGGGGAAGGGGGGCAGGGGCTAACAGTGATCTTCCACGCTGGCCCTGCAGCACTGTCGGAAACGAGCTCGCAGATCGTCCCGACCGGGGCGCCTCCCCGGGGCCGAGAGGGGAGTGCCCGGCGGGGCAGGGGCCCCTTCCTCGGATCCTCGTTCTTCCCTCGCGCAGCGGGCGCCGAAGCGGCGAGCAGGCCCTTCTCGACAGGCCTGCCTGAGCGCAGACCGCACGGTGGCCTGCCCGACGACGCCAGCGCAGCGCTGCAGCGGCACACGCGCGTTCCACCGGCAAAACGGCCGGAAATCTGCCTGCCAGCAGGTGCCCCGCAGAAATTTGTTGTCCCCAATCGTCTCACAGACCCATAGCCCTGTGGGCCCCTCAAAGAATGACGAAGAATGTGCCCAAATATTTCTTATACCGCGATTTCGTTTTCGCATCGCGTGTCTACTACAGTTCCTGTTTGTGCACGAGGTGGGCTGTCCTCAGGGCTTCCTCGGGGGCGTCTCGGTGGAAGAAGGGCGACGACATAGACACAACGTTTCGGAGGTCCGCGCGGATTTCTGGGATCTGTGTTGGGCCCCCCTGGCGGTGCTTCTGGCGCCACCCCTGGCGTGTTCCCGCTCGCCAGGGAAGGGGGTCCAGCGCCGACCGCAAAAAGTCCGCGCGGACCTTCGACAGTGCACGCTCGTGCAATGTTTTGTTCCTCTGTTGTGTGCCACCCTGGGGGCTCCTGGGGGATCTCTGGGCGCGTCCGCGGGCCTTCCCGGGGGGCTCCATCGGGGCCTTCCTGGGGGGCAGCCTCCCTCGGGGCCCGGCATGCGCTCCCTCTCTCTCTCTCTCTCTCGCGGGGGCCCGTGCCAGGTCTCGCGGAGCCCCCTGGGGCCACCCCGAGGCGATCTCAAGGCTCCCGAGTCCCGTTTTATGCAGCCAAGCGCGAGGCTTTCAGAATCGCTGCAACGAGCTGCTGTCTTTTCATGCGTCTGGCCTCTTGGCCGGCTGCAGGACCACCTTTGAGCTATCGTGGGGCCTCCAGGGTTCATCCTGGAGGCCATCTCGGAGTCATCCTGGTGGAACCATCTTGCTCTTCCCACCCTCTAGCAGGCATGGCGCTCGGACTCCTGGAGGAAGGGGGCAAAGGGGAAAGACATACAATGACACCGTAGCTGCAGAAGAGCCTAAACAGCTTTACACAGTCACGATGGGTGCCACGATGAGGGACACGATGGGGGGCTACGACGTGGGGCCACGGGATGGGGATAGGGACAGGGATCGGGATATGCATAGAGTCGTTACTGTCGCTCCCCTGGCTCTTTTTTGAGCGAGCCTGCGCGCGCGTTTCCGCGCGTTGGGCTCAAGCCAAAAAATGTGAGAACTGACCGTGGCGCGGAGCGTAGCGGCAAAAGGGTGCGCGCGCCTTTTTGTCAAGGCGCGCGTGTCCTTATGCGCTCGCACATCCACTTGACGGAACGATATAGCCGTGTCTCATGATTTCGTGGAGGGAACGTCCATCAACAAGACCCTACAGATGGGCGCTCCTGAGCTAGGACACCAGAGTACGGACAATGCTCGAATGTCAGACTCGAATGGCTGTCTTGCAACATGCCGCTTACCAGCCGCAGCAATGACGGATTACCACGATGATGACGAGCGCCATGCGGAGAGCTATGACAGTTGTTCTGACCCAGCATGGGAGCAATACAATGTCGAACAGTACCAAATCAAAGGACCACCGCGTGCGTTTCCCCGTCCCGAGGGGTACCAAATCCGAACGGCACAAGAAATCCCAAGCCCACCTCTATCTTCAGAGTCGGATTCGCGCAAGAGGATTACGAGGGCCGCGTCAGGAGTAAGAGCCTGGCGACTCCCCACTACTTGAGGAAGGGAGAAGCGATCGATCCTCACAGAACTCATCTCAGCTGGCGGGGCGATCAGCCTCGTCTGGTGAGGGATCTCATGCAGTGTCGCAGCCGGCAATCAATGTGTACGGGACATATTTACCAGGGAACCCCTACGCCGACGTCAAGACGATCGAAGCCCGTGGGATCGACGTCACGGCTGCGGCGGCGGAAGCAGCAGTGTATCTAATGTATCCTCCGGTTTCGGAGGCGGCTCCCAAGCCACTCGACAACCCAAAACCGTCTCAGCGGAGCAACGCCCGAGACGCCAGACAGTCAGCAGCCTACCAGAGTTGGCACCGAAAAAGTGGCAGGCGAGGGAGAATTCCACATCCAGCGTCAACTCCAATGCGTGCATCGCCTTCGAGTCCACTACTCCGCCTGAGGATACGATGAGTTGGTATCCCGAGCCACGTTCCCTCGTGAGCCCAGACCCTCTGGGCCCCGGTGTCGGACCACACAGAGCGTTTGATTGGGATCTATGGGGCCCGGACATGGCTGATGTTGTGGCATTGGAGAGCGAATGAGAGACTAGGGGGGCGTCTAGCAATCGCAAGCTGGATTGCGACAGGATTTGGCTCGCGCGAGCGGGGCAGGAACCCGATTTGCCAAGCCTGGCGCTGCTCGTGGGCTTGCGTTCGAGAATGCGAAATTCAAAAAGTGCAAGGGGTATGGATAGTGCCTCTGAGGAGACTCAAAGGGACGTTGTGGAGCCCGCCCCGATGCGAGAGATCGACTGCGTCCCCGGCTTCGGGGAGATGCGGTTTGGGCACTGCAAATGGCTTTTGGCCGAGTCAGGGAAGGTCCTTGTCGGTGCGCATCGCGGAAAGCCTCTCGCAGTGGATCTGTGATGATCTGATGGGGCATTTCAAGACCATTGACTATTTTGTCGCGTCTGTTGCTCTGAAGAGGTACTTCTAGAGCATTGACATGGCAAGGCTCACAGCGATTGCAGTCGGGGGCTGGCTGAAGCAGACCACTCTCCAAGGACAGAAGCCCACGGACGCTTGGAGACAAGGACTGGCTCACTCGCAGCGCGGTTGAGGTCGTGGCGCGGGTCGCCGAGCGATGCTGCGCCCCGCGCCAAATGCGCCACAGCGCTGTGCTCTGCGAGCCTGCCAGAGCGTGGCTCGATTGGTATGCTCAGGGAACCCATGGCGATATATGGATGGTATGCTCGTCGAGAAGGCCATCGCATACCTCGACCCGGACAGCGCGCCCCTGGCAAGGTCGCTGCCGTCTGACCAGGTAGGGCATGACATGTCCCCCGATGTCCTTGCGACCCTGGGAGGGAAGTGGGTGCTCACAGACATGTGGATCCCTGGACGCGATCACAAAGCTGCGGGATGCCATTGGCGCCCACGGCCAGTTGGCGGGTGCGATCGCAATCCTAGTGCTCCGAAATAGAGGGACATCGCCTTTGCTGGCTGACCCGACAACGGATCCGCCCGTGGGCGACCCTTCTTGGAATGTAAAGTGTAAAGAGGGCATGGGCGGCCGATGATCTGAAAGCGATGGTCGGGGCCAAAGATCGCAGCGCTGCCTCTGGCAGTGGTGCTTCTGGCGATGGATGCCGCAACTGAGCCAGGCGGCCCCTCAGGCGCAGCGGTGGCGACGGTCGGCCCTGCCGACGTCGCCGCAGCGACGGGCGCTGGAGAAGGCACCAGAGGTGCTGGTGCTGATCCAGTTGCCCACGGATCTGCGGCCGGCGCCGACGACGGCGGAGGGCGGCCTGGGCAAGACGGCGACGACGGGGTTGCTGATTGGGGAGACAGCAACAACAAGTGGCCCAACCGTCGCCAAGATCGCGCCTAAAGGAGAACAGATGCCGATGACTAGCGGTGCCCTGCCAAAGGTAGTAGTTCCAGGAGGCGTGGCTCACACCGTCCCGACGACGATCGCGCGAACAAGTGGACGAGCAAAGCAACTGGAAAGAAAAGGAGAGACAGGGCGCGACAACCCGCGGAGAAACGAAGGAGCAGGCAGCTCCTTTTCGACGCCCTGGCAAGGGTCACCGTGCTGGCGGGGCAACGAAAGCTCTGGTCAATGGGCCGGTGGTCGACTAAGAGGAGGCCGCGATGAAAGAGGCCGCGATGCGACTGGAGCGCGGAATGTGGAGAGGAACCCGAGGAATAGCTGGAGGCGCGACTGCGGCTGGCAGGGGCGTCCAAATGAACGATGTCAACGGTGGGCCGCGGGAAGGACAACCCTGGCTGAGCGAACAACGCCAGATGCCCCGTGGGCCTGGCGAATCAAGCAAGGCTTCGTCGAGCAGCCAGGCCCTGGCGGCTGCGGCAGTGTTGGGTGCTACTCGAACGTTTGACGCTGTGAACACATGTTTGGGGTTGGCGCGCCCTGGCGGGGCGTGCTGAAGGCTGGCGCGCAGAGGCTTTGGTTGCTCGGGTGCCCGCCGCGGGGGGAGTCGTTACTGTCGCCACCCTTCGTCTCAAGTGGGCAAAGCCAGCGCGCGCTTCCGCGCGTTTGGCTCGAGTCATAACATGTGACCGCTGACCGTGGCGCGAAGCGTAGCGGTGAAAGGGCGGGCGCACGCCTCGCTCTCTCTCTCTCTCTGTCTCTCTTTTTTTGTTTTTCTCTCTCTCTCTCTCTCTCTCTCTGCGCGCGCGTATCGTCATGTCCACTCTCACATCCGTTTGGTGAAGATACAGAGCCATGTCGCAAG